CCCTGCTGCCTGGCTGACCCGAGAGCTCCCAGGCTCACATTGTCACCGTTTTGCAGCTCCTAGGGCTGGCACATCCTTGTCCCTGGTCCGGTTTTCTATTCACTATGAGCTCTTAGGGGTTTTATTTGAACTTTCTCTTCAGCTTTATCATTCAAAACACCCAGATGGGGCTGGGGATCAGGTGCAGAGGCAGAGCTCTGGCCTAGCAAGGGCAATGCCCAGGCTCATCAGTTAGCATGGTGGTTCATGCCTACAGCAACAGTACTCAAGAGGCTGAGACAAGAGGATTACAATGAGTTTAAAGCTAGCCCCGGACTATAGAAGTGAGAGGTCCGAGAGACAGTTTAGTGAGCAAGGCACTCACCAAGCCTGACAACCTGAGTTTGATCCCCAGGCCCCACATGGTAGAAAGAGAGAATTGACTCTGGAAAGTTGACCTCTGATCTCCACACAAGACCATAGCACTTACATGTCCTGCAGGCACACACACGTGCAATAAAAATATATATTTAAAAAAAACTTCAAGTGGTCAGGGGACTGGGGAGACAGCCCAGTCAATAAAGCGCAAGAATGAGGACCTGTGATCCAATCCTCAGAGCCTACTTGAAAGCTGGGTGTTGAGACTGGAGAGACGGTCAACAGGAAAGAGCACTCATTGCTCTTGCAGAGGACCAGGGCGTGGTTCCCAGCATCCACATGGTGGCTCACAACCATCCATAACAGCAGTTCCAAGGGATCTGATGCCCTTGGAACTTCCACAGGCACCAGGCATGCATGCAATGCACATACACACAGGTAGACAAACACTCAGGTAGACAAACACTCATACATAGGAAATAAAAATAAATAGATCTGATGGGCGGTGGTGGTGCATGTCTTTGATCCCAGCACTTGAGAAGCAGAGGCAGGTGGATCTCTGTGAGTTCGAGGCCAGCCTGGTATACAAATTGAATTTTTGGTATACAAATTTCTCTGTTACACAGAGAAACCCTGTCTCAAAAAAAAAAAAAAAAAAGTAACAAACAAGCAAACAAATGGGGCAAATGCCTACAATCCCAGCACCGGGAGGGTGGGAACAGGAAGATGCCTGAGGTTTGCTAGCCAGTCTATCCAAATGGGCAAGCTCCAGATTCGGTGAAAGACTCTGTCTCAAAAAATAAAGTGGACAGTCATTCTGAAAGACACCTCTGGCCTCCCCATACATGTGTATATACATGTGTACACACAAACATACAAGAATAAAACAAGAAGTGAAAACAAAAATCCCAAACAAACTCCACTCAAAAAAAAAAAAAATTGTGTTCTGGATTGGGAATATAGCTCAGTTGGTAGAGTTCTTACCTAGCATGTATGAAGCTCTGAGTTTAACCTCCAGCTTTCTGTAAACCAGACATGGTGGATGATAGCTGTATCCTAGAACAGGTGGAGGCAGAAGGATCAGAAGTTCAAAATCATCCTTGGCTACAAAGCAAGTTTCAGGCCAGCCTGGGCTACATGAGACTGTCTCAAAAATATAAAGAGAAAGAAAAAAAAAGGGAGAAAGAAAGGAAGGAAGAGGGTGCTGTATTAAATCCTATTCCCATGCCATTTCTAGCTTTGGTGACTCCCACTTCATTATCAAGCCACAGTCAGCTCTCCCATACACAAATGCAAAGATGTCCCACACCCCTTCTGCTTGGGATCTAGACAATGCATTAAGAAAGCTAGCCTTGCTCTCAGATCCTGCTCTTCACACAATGGGAAGAGCACAGGATTGAGACACCTTGGTTTCCTGGGAGGGAACATTCCAGCTGTGAAAAACCCAAAGTTGTGAATTGTCAGCTGGTGACTGCCCATGAAACCTGTCAAGATGCCTGGCAGCTCAGCTGAGAACCTAATTACCAGGTACAAAGAGAGACAGGAAAAACGTGTTGCCAGAGAGCTCCTGGTCAGACAGAATGAGGTGCAGTGTCCTGGCCTCATCATCAGCCTCCTCCTGCTCCACCTAGAGCAACACACATTAGTATAATTGACAGTGCACGTGTTTACTGTCTGAACAAAGGAACCATGTCCAGCCACAGCCCGGTGTCAGCTGAGCCTTTGGCAATCGCATGAATTCAACAGTGGCATCTGAGTTGGCAGCATAAACACTTTGGGTATTCTTGATGCCAAGGACAATATCATCCTATACTTAACTTTTCTCTGCGGTTCACACAGCCTGCAACCACTCCTCCTTGTTTTTCTGGAGTGAAGGAGATCCTTCAGGAGGGATATCAACTTACCAAAGGTCACACAGTCAATCAGCAGTCCAGCATCGTCTCTTCCAAGAGGGAATATAAAAATATTACAAGAGGGCTAGAGAGATGGCTCAGAAGTTAAGAGCACCAACTGCTCTTCCAGAGGACCTAGGTTCAATTCCCAGCACCTACATGGCAGCTCACAACTGTCTGTAACTCCAAGATCTGACACCCTCACACAGACATACATGCAGGCAAAACACAAATGTACATAAAATAAGAATAAATAAGTTATTTTTTAAAATTACAAGAAAACCATTGGCATAGCGGGTAGAGACAGAGATGGCCAAGCCCAATAGCCTGAGGTTTAGTCCCAGGATCTACCTGATGGAAGGAGAGGGAGCCAACTCCTACAAGTTGTCCTCTGAGCTCTATACCCATGTTGTAGTATACACCCCACTCCTCCACATACACAGAAAAAAAAAATAGATGTGAAAAGGAATAATATCAACGGGCGGTGGTAGCTCAGATCTTTAATCCCAGCACTCGGGAGGAGGGGCACTCTGTGAGTCTGAGGCCAGCCTGGTCTACAAATCGAGTTCTAGGACAACCAGGACTACACAGAGAAACCCTGTCTTAAAAAAAAAAAAAAAAATCAGCCGGCGGTGGTGGCGCACGCCTTTAATCCCAGCACTCGGGAGGCAGAGCCAGGCGGATCTCTGTGAGTTCGAGCCCAGCCTGGGCTACCAAGTGAGTTCCAGGAAAGGCGCAAAGCTACACAGAGAAACCCTGTCTCGAAAAAAAAAAAAATCAGTCTAGGGCTAATGAGATGGCTGGAGCCAGTAAAGGCACTTGCCACTGAGTCTGATGACTTGAGTTCAATACCTGGAACCCATGATAGAAGGAGAGAACAGATTCCCAAAAGTTGTCCTCTGACTTCCTTAGACATAATATGGCATGCATGTGTATACACACACACACACACACACACACACACACACACACACACACACACACACACACACGAATGAATAAATAATTGAAAAGAAAAAGCCAAAAGCCATCAAGAGTGGAGGAGGAAAAAAAGAGAGAGAAAGCCATCAACCTTCATTAAGAATCCTCCAGTTAGAGAAAAACAGTGTTTATCTTTCTTTGCACAATTGCTTCAGCAGTTCTGGAACATAAATGATATCTTTCTTGTTAGGAAACACCCCCACACCCCCACACACACCTTGAAAACAGTGACCTGGGCATTTATAGTAACAGGGAGCCCAAGAAAATACTTACTAATCACTTACTGTATTCCTTGCTTCTATCTATTTAATCTGCAAGCCGATTGGTAAAGTATATATAGAGATGGTCCGAATCCTTACCTACAGCCCAGGAGGTTAGGCAAATTGTGTGAGTTCAAGCAGCTAACAACTGGCAAGGCAGCCATTTGTGGTAGCTCATACCTGCAGTCCCAGCTACCTGTGAGGCTGAGGAGGGAGGAGCATGTGAGTCTAGTAGTACAAGGCCCTGGATTTGGTTCCCAGAAAAACTTTCTTTTAATAGCCTAGTACACACATGATTTTTCCTCCAAGACAGGGTTTCTCTGTGTAGCTTTGGAGCCTGTCCTGAAACTCACTCTGTAGACCAGGCTGGCCTTGAACTCACAGAGATCTGCCTGGCTCTGCCTCCGGAGTCCTGGGATTAAAGGCATGCGCCATCACCGACCAGCTATATAAAAAAAAATTAATGATAATAAAAATAAGTAAATAGCCGGGTGGTGGTGGCCCACACCTTTAATCCCAGCACTCGGGAGGCAGAGCTAGGTGGATCTCTGTGAGTTCAGGGCCAGCCTGGTCTACATGGGAAGATCCAGGACAGGCACCAAAGTTACACAGAGAAACCCTGTCTCTAAAAAAACCTAAATAAATAAAAATAAATAAATAAATAAATAAATAAATAAATAAAGTGTCTGGTTCAAATAGAAGGCATTCAGGCATCTCTGACAACATACTCCATCAGATTCAAAGCCACAAAGAACCGGGAGCCAGGGTGGAAAATGGGGAGAATGAAGCGAAAGAAGGGGTCAGGGAGAAGAGACCAGGAAGGGGATCTGGCTAGGAAATTTAACAGACAGCGGGAGTCCTTCTCAGAGACCGCCTACCAAGACCCACAGAACGGAGCTGGTAGACTGGAGAAGCTGTAGTCTTTTCTCCCTTTTTCCATTTACCACTTATTTTCTCTTCTGTAAAAGGATTAGCAGGATGAACTCAGTGGGAAAGGAGGCCCCTGTGGGATCCTGTTACCAGCCATCTGTGTTCTGTTCTTTACTTTCGAACAAGACGGCTCCAAAACTCTGAGCTGGAGAGGGAGTTGGAGCTGCATACAGATCAGCGGAGCTGTTGCTACCCGCTCTGACGCCTGGCAGGATGACTCAATCCTCTGTGCCTGGAGGAGTCAGCTGTGGTCCCCTGGAGCCTCCTACTCTAGGGAGGAAAAATCAGAGAAGTGGGAAAGTGGCTTGGAAAAAGGGAAGGAGGACCCTAGCTTTGGGGCAGGGATTCGGGCTGGAAAGGTAAATTGGGACACCCTGAGACCTCAGTGAACAGTTCCAGCTGACCATGGCGGGGGCGGGGGGGCGGAGGGGGATTTAAGGCACGAGCAAGAAGAGCACAATCTTCCGTAGGTTTTAGCTGCTGCCCAAGAGGGGTATACATACCGTGTGGAGGATGGCAGTCGGTAAAAGCCATATGGCTGTGTCCCCAGGAATTCAGCTCAAACGCAAACCTCACTCACCTCCCGGGTGGGTTTTGTCCAGGTACAGGCAGCTCCCGCTATTTCCCGGCTTTCAGAAGATCGTGCCGACTCCTCCTGTTCCTACTGGGCACCATTAATACTTTAGACCGTGTTTGTGCTGAACAGTTGCTAGCATCAGACCTCTCCCCTGGTCATTCACTCAGATCTCTGAGATACAGGCAATTAGGAAGAAGAAACCATGCCAGGAAGCTCCTAGGTAGCCTTCCTGTTTGCCCTGCTTTCAGTTGCTTGTGTATCCATAGTGCCAGGAGGCATCTGGATTTACCCTATGCTAATACATAAACACGCTGCTCCACCCCCACAACAACCCCAGGCTTCCCTCAAAGAACTGTCTTTTCTTTTGGCTCCTTATCACTCACCAATAAACAGTCCCCGTCCCCCCACCCCCACCCCCCACCCTGGTTTGGCTTCCAGTTGCCATGGCAACTCAAAAGCAACGGGTTGAAGCTGCCAATAAAGGCATCTGCAAGAGCTCCGTACAGCCAGACTCCTTTAAAAACAATAGTACAAAGTGGAATCACCGCTACATCCACCCTCCCCCTCCACCCCCCATACACTCTCCATTGTTGGGTTTATGGAGAAACTGGCAGTTTTTGGAATATCCAAGAAAGGGGTTGCTTAGCCCCAGAGGAAAGGTTTTCATGCCCTATACAATGATCTTTTTAGATCCTAGCCTAGAAATCTGACCAACTGTCAGGTGTTTGCAGCTGTACAAAGGCCAAGATATTTACAAAATAAGTCTTTCTGTGTTCTTTCCTTCTATGTCTTTTCCTGTTGTTGTTGTTGTTGTTGTTGTTGTTGTTGTTATTCAAGACAGGGTTTTTCTATGTAGCCCTGGCTGTCCCGGAACTCACTATGTAGACCAGTCTGGCCTGGAACTCAGAGATCCACCTGCCTCTGAGGCCTCCCAAGTGCTGGGGCTAATGGCGTGGGTCAACTCAACTCGCTGTGCTTGCAGGGAAGAAACCGGGTTTTCCTTATTTCAGGGGTAGAACTGCTGGCTGGTTTCACACAGAGGGCTCTGAGAGATGGCTCTGGGCTTAAAACACTGGCTATTCTTCCAGAGGACTTGGGTTTGGGTTTCCCAGCTCCCACAGGAAGGCTCACCACTGTCTATAATGCTGGTGACCAGGCACACATGTGATACATAGACAAACGAAACCCTCATACACATAAACACAAAAATAAAAATAGGAAAGCATGAGCAGACTCTTGATAATAGTCAGACAGTATGTATGAAAATGCTCTAAACTAAAGGGCTCAAATAGGGGCTGGAGAGACGGCTCAGTGGTTAAGAGCAATTGCTGCTCTTGCAGAGGACCTAGGTTCAGTTACCAGCACTACACAGTGGCTCACAACCATCTACAGCTCTAGTTCCAGGGGGATCAGATGTCCTCTGCCAACCTCTGAGGGCACCACAAACCCACATGACACACATACATGCATGCCAGCAAAACATTCATACACATAAAAATGACATACATAATAAATATATTCTCTTAAAGTTCTCACACAGTCATATTAACTATCACCCTTGTCCACACTCCCCTGCCATTCAGGTTACATGGCAAAACTGCTAAGTGCCTATTCTCTGAGCCAAACTTCCCAACTTGCACCCCTTCTGTCCCCTTTGCTTTTCAAACCACTGGCAAAGCTTCCCTGCTGCACTTCCCCTGCCTGTAAAATGAGGAGTGTAACCGTATCTGTTCAGAGGGCTTTCACATAGATGAAATAAATCGAAATCTATAAAGTGTACAGAGCAGTATCTGGCTCTCTGTACCAAGTATCTCTGCTGTACCGCAGTCTACTGCTGGACACACTGTTGTGCTGGGAAAAGACAAGGTACCCTGTCCTCAAAGAATTCACAGTCTAAGCCGGGCAAAGTGGTACACACCTTAATTCCCAACACTCAGGAGGCAGAGGCAGGTGGATTTCTGTGAGATCAAGGCCAGCCTGGTCTACAGAGCTGCCTAGTGAGTACTAAGACAGCCAGAGCTACACAGTGAGACCCTGTCTAGAAAAAAACTAATAAAATAAAATATAAAAAATTCACAGTCTAAATCGTCACGCCAGAGAAGACCAAGTAATAATATTAGGAAACGTGACCAGTGCTTCTCCCCATGAAGCAAGGAAACAGAGGAGGGAGCCAGAAACTTTGCCTCGAAGGACCTAAGTTTTTCCCAAACAGATAAATGGTTCCTGTGTCAGTTAGGCATTCCAAGTTACAAAAAGCAAGTCACTCCATTTAGCTCAGCAATTTTATTCTAAAGATATACATCCCAGAAAGTCAGGAAACAACAGACCAGAGGAACAAGACACAGCATTTTGGCATTTTTACCCTAATGCTTAATCATTAGCATGACTTAGCTGTTTCTCTCCTGGCTGGGTTGCTTTTACCATTATTAATTACTTCCTTCCTTTAAATTTAAAACGTGGTTTGTTTTTTTTTTTTCAATGTTGGGGATTGAACCCGGAGTCTCACATATGCTAGGTAATATTCTACAACTGAGTTTATTTACAGTCTTTCTTCCTTTTTGGAGACATCCAGCTTGTAGTTTTTCTCTTTTGTTCTCATTCTTCACATTGTCTTTCTTGCTCGCAGGCTGTCATGCGTTCTTTCTTTGGGCAGCGCTGGGGATGGGACCTAGGTGCTCTGAGTGCTGAGCACACACTTTCCTGCTGAGCTGTATCCCATCCCTCTTCTCTTTCAATTCAGATATTAGAGAGCAAAAGATAATATGCCTGGGGCATGGTGGCTCCTGCCTGTAATCCCAGTCCCGGGAGGCTGAGGCAGGAGGATTGCACGTTTAAGGCCAGCCTGTTATCATACAGGGTGTCTGTGCTGGCTAGTTTTCATGTCAGTTTGACACAGTCCTTTCAGAAGAGAGAGTCTCGCCTGTCCCACCAGGCTGGCCCATGAGCAAGCCTGTGGTGCATTTCCTGATTGTGAGAGGGTCCAGCCCATGGTGGGTGGTACCTGAGGGAGTATAGGAAGGCAGGCTGAGCAAGCTATGAGAAGCAAGCCAGTACGACGCATTCCTCCGGGTCCCTGCCTTGATTTTCTTCAATGGTGGACCATGACACGGAAGCATAAGCCCAACAGAACCTTTCCTCCCCAAGTTGCTTCTGGTTATGGTGTTTTATCACCGCAACAGGAACCCTAACTAAGACAGGGTTCCAGGCCAGCCTGAGCTACAGTGAGATCCAGCCTTAAGAAACAAAACAAACAAAAAAGCTAGGTGACGGCCCGTTGGGGTGCACACCTTTATCCCGGCACTCGGGAGGCAGACACTGACAGATCTCTCTGAATCTGAGGCCAGCCTGGTCTACAGAGTGAGTTTAAGGCTTGCCAAAGAGGTGCATGGTGACACTGTCTCAAAACAGCAAACCCCAGGTGTGGTGGCGTATGCCTGTAATCCCAGTGCTTGGGAGGTAGAGGAAGGACAGGAGTTCAAGGCCAGTTTTGTTTACACAGTGAGTCTGAGGCCAGTCTGGGCAACAGGAAAGCTGTATGTAACACACAGAGATGGGGTGGGGGTGGGGTGGGGTGGGAGGAGCAGCAGGATGGCTCAGCAGGTAAAGTACTTGCTGACAGGAAATGCCAGCTTAAAGGCCTGATCTGACCTCCACATACCCACCTTGCACACACACACACACACACACACACACACTAAATAAATAAATAAATAAATAAATAAATAAATAAATAAATAAATAAAATTAGAGGAAATGGGAGAGGGCGCTGAGAGAGAGAATCTGAGCCTGCTCTTTCTATGCCAAGTATGTTGTAAGTCAATAGTCAGGTTCTTGACTGTCAAGGCCTAGTAATTGTAGCCATCACGAAACCAAGCCCAGTAATCATTGTTCATTGTATACATTTTTTTTTTTTTTTTGGTTTTTTGAGACTAGATTTCTCTGTGTAGCCCTGGCTGTCCTGGAACTCACTCTGTAGCTCAGGCTGGTCTTGAACTCAAGTGCTGGGATTAAAGGCATGTACGGCATGTATCACCACCACTCAGCCTTCATTTAATCCTCTTAATTCTATGAAGTAGATATAATTTTTGTTCAGTTTTGTTGTTGTTGTTTTAAAACAGTGGTTCTCAACCTTCCTAATGCTGTGACCCTTTAATAAATTCATCATGTTGTGGTGACCCCAACCATAAAATTATTTTCGTTGCTACTTCATAACTGATTTTCCTACTGTTATGAATCGTAATGTAAATATCTGCTACACAGGATATCTGATATGTAACTTTAAAGGGGTCGAGACCCCCAAGTTGAGAACCACTATTATATATTATATATATTATATATATTATATATATTATATATATATATTTTTTACAGAAGAGAACCACTATTTTAAAGAGTCATATTATGTAGCCCAGGCTTGCAGGGAACTTGAAATCTTTATGCTTCAGCCTTCCAAATGCTAAGATTCCAGATTTCTGTTACCAGGAGGAGCTATTCACATTTTTAACTCCATGAGATTTGGTATCTTTCCTTTCACTGGTCTCTCTCTCTCTCTCTCTCTCTCTCTATATATATATATATATATATATATATATATATATATATATATATATATATCCAGGACTGAGACAGGAGATTTATTTATTTATTTTTTGTAGGTGGTACTGGGAATTGAACCCAAGACATTATGCATGCTAGCAAGCACTCTACCACTGAGCTATTTCTCCAGCCTGGGATTTAGTCACCTTTTTTTATTTTCTTTGTTGTTTTTTTTTCTAGACAGGGTCTCACTATGTAGCTCTGTCCTGGAACTCACTCTGTAGACCAGGATAGCCTCAAACTCGCAGAGATCAGCCTAGTACAGACAGAGGCTCTGGGTTCATACACATAAATAAATCTAAAACCTTTTTTTTTTTTTTTTTTGAGACAGGGTTTCTCTATGTAGTCCTGGCTGTCCTGGAACTCACTCTGTAGACCAGGCTGGCCTTGAACTCACAGAGATCTGCCTGCCTCTGCCTCCTGAGTGTGGGGATTAGAGGCATGCGCCACCATGCCTGGATGAGAACGTTTTTTTTTTTTTTTTTTTTGGTTTTTCGAGACAGGGTTTCTCTGTGTAGCTTTACGCCTTTCCTGGAACTCACTTGGTAGCCCAGGCTGGCCTCGAACTCACAGAGATCCGCCTGGCTCTGCCTCCCGAGTGCTGGGATTAAAGGCGTGCGCCACCACCGCCCGGCGAGAACGTTTTTAAGACTAGCAGGATATTTGCTCTAAAAGTGATGGAAGTGCTGGCACAATGGTTCGCCCGCTGCCCAGCCTGACAACCTGAGCTGGATCCTC